CGTTAGCACTTGCCTCATGTTTCTTAAACTGGCAATTGTCACGGTTCCTTTAAGAAGCACTCCAGTATAATGGAAGACAGCAGTCACCTCCCACACCCTACGCCTCCAGACACCCAGGATACAGCTTGTGTATACTTAAGCTGTCTCTGACACACATAATTTATTTTTCAGTCCTGACTAATCAGTCTTGTTTGCCCCTTTAGCAAAGAGAACAGTATATTTTTGTACAGAAAAGATTGGTAAGAAAGGCAAAATAAAGACTTGCCTCCACACATGCACACGCACACGCACACACACACCGAAATCTAGTATAAATCCCCACAAAATAGCAACAAATAAAAGATTGGAGGGAAAGCAACAGAAGTTAAGAGAAAGGGTATTTATCAAATGCTGGTTGACAATTCAGTTACATTTTACATTTTCAAAAGCTTTCTTCCAATGCCTGGGGTGTTGAGGGGTTAAGGGTAGAGACTACATCCTGCTGCTTTGGGTAGGAGGGAATAGTTTTGTCATTTCAGGATTAAGGTCAGCTTCATCAACAGGCTGCCACATTCTGTCAGCACCCCCCCAGCTCTGCTAGCACCCTGCCCCTGATCTTCAAATCTTCGCTGGGCTGCTGGTTCTCTGAGCCCCTACTCTTTTCTTTTGGATATTACTGAAGGGGGAGACTATTCACATGTGTGCTGTAAGACAGGGAGGGCTTACTCTTAATATTTCTTTTCATAAGACTAAGGACACAAAGGCAAGGAAGAGAACTCTGCATGCCTCTGAGGATGTCAGGGTGACTGCGATAACCACACTGCTCACCACTCTGCACCCTTTGTAATAGAACTTGGACGTTTTTCCCAACAAGAGGTCAACTGTTTCCCCATCTCTCAGTTATGGACTGGTATGTGAGGAACTTGGATCTCAAAAGGACTTGAATGAATCCTAGTTGGCTGGCTGAAGAGGCCCTATGAAGCCTGGGGGAGCCTCGGCTCTGGATGTCCAGTTGCTATACAATGGGTCCACAATTGACCACAGTCAGGTGAGGAGCCCAGCCAAGATCAGAACTTCTGTCAGGCTTAACCCAAATTCCACACTGCAGAACTGCCCCCTAAATAAGTTATTTAGTATCTTATGCTACTATGTTTGGGCAATTTGTTACATAGAGAATTCTTGGGTTTTATTATATTCCTCAGACACGTTCTCTAGCTTCTTATGTCATCAGTAGTGTTGACAAAAGTAATGATGTTGGGTTATATTTGGAAACAACTGTAGGATGTTAGGGGCATTTGGTTCTTACCTGTAACATATAATGAATCACTGCTAGTTTTTGGACACAGATAATGATGGAGAAAGCAGTAATGATGCTTTGACTTCTTTGACCTTTTGGTGAGAGCCAATTAATAGTGGAAAGGTAGCACACCAACTACCACAGTTATGAAAACAGTGATCCTTGGGCTGCTTACTGGTAGATTCAACAAAGGCATGAAACATCTTGGCTATGAAACTAGTTCATTTATACCCTAATGAAATCCCATGAGAACATATATGCCCATATGTGTGGTGAATGGATTCTCTAATTAGAAGCGGCCGGGAAGGCCTGTTTCTGCCCCTGATGCTGCCATTTGTATTTCCTGTCAATTTGTCTATATAGTGGCACATAGATTCATAAGGTGTTTTAATAAGTAGTCTACTTGATCTTCTTGCTGTGGCATAGATTATTGCAGTCATTTTGTTGTACCCAATACATACAAAAGCTCTGAGAAGTCTTAAGGCTCCTGGTAGAATTCTCTTCCCCTGACCACTACACAGTGGTATTTGATTTGCACCTTACTGAGTAGTAGGAAGCATACTCTCGTCAACTGTAACATTTCGTTTTATATTTAGGGGACATTGCAGCGGTGAGTAGGGGTGGGGTATGCAAAGCTGCATTTCCCTCGTGGAGGCGATGTACTCCAGCAGTAGCTAGTGCTTTACATGTGGCTCCTCGGTCTCCACTGAGGAATACCATGTTTTAAGTACTTAGGAAGTACTTAAATGAAGAAGGATGGAACCAAAGAATATAGGGAAGTAGGTAGAAAGCTGTACACTTTTGTAAGGCAGTATTCAAGGGAGATGCTTGAGAGCAGACACAAATTTCAGAAAGGTGTTGTCTTAGATGGATAGGACTTGTCTAGATGTGGACGCCCAACAAGGTTTTGGGCAGGTAGTTTATTTGAGGAACATTTTAGTAGTGAGGTGGGAAAGGGCCAGGGAAGACAAAGAAGCCAATAAAGAAAGTGGTCAGAGTCAGGTAAGTTACCACATGAACAACCAGATAATTGACCCACTTGGGGAACTCTGGGAGGCAATGTAGGCCCTAGCATAGGCCAGCGAGGTGTCTGTTCACCCATATCCATCCATCTTTGCTTGTAGTTTCTGTCTGGAGGCAGGAAATTTCAGTAAGTGCCAACAAATTTCTCTAATATTTTGTTTCTTTCACTATTATAGTCACAATATTTGGTGTAAAACCTGGTTTGTAATAGAGCTTAGTAAATATTTCTTCCAGTGAGTGAATGAAAGGTGGATTGTCCAAGACCTTCCAAGGGTCCAGCAGTGGTAGTCTGTCTTTGCTGCTCCTCGTAGAGACCAGTGTCTCTTGGAGTTTCCTGGGTGACTGGGGTGACAAAGGCACAGCCCTGGAATGTATTTTCTAGGTCCTTTTATAACCATAGAGTCATGTATATCTGGTTTAAATCACACCTTATCACTTGTTAACTGAGAGAGCTTGTCCAAATAAACTATTAGTGTTTTCATTAGCAAAAGGGGATTAATAATGCCAATTTGCACAGTGCCTACTATGTACTTGACAATCATAGAATATGCAGTTTTTCTTTCTCTTAATATCATCACAAGCATTGATTTGTTAATGAATCAGTGACAAAAAACTCAGGGAAGCTGGTCAAAGCAGATTTAAAGGGAGGTTATGAAAGGGAGTTAACAAATAAAAATGGGCAGATCAAGATGCAAGGCTTCTGCTCCCAGGATCTGGGAGTACCCTTCACCTCTGGCCTTGGGTAGAAGGGTCCTTTAGCCAGTGCCATGTATGCTGGAGGGAGTCGATCTAGCCTTTTGCAGTGTTCCATCTTGCCCTAATCGTTTTTTTCCTAATGGACTTTGTGGGTCGGCACATTAGTTGGAGAAGATTCATTCCTGGGGAATCCATCATCCTTAGCCAAAAGTAGCTGACTGCTTAAGAGCTAAGGCTGGGCAAGTGCAATTATTTAAAGTAAATATGCCACACAGTGCACCTTAAAGCGAAGCGTCTGCACTTTCCTTTCATGTATCCAGTGTGCTGTGTGAATCACTCAGGCAGTGTGAAAAACCTACTCACTTGTCTGCCTGAGAACAGATGGAGCTCAGCTCAGAATTTTCCAGTGTGGCCTGTATGTTGGTCACATGTCAGCTTTGACATATGCAGTATATGATCATTTTTTTTCTCTCTTCCAGCATCCTCTCTACCATAAGTTTAAGAAATAGATATACTCCTGTTGTTGTTCCTTAAAATATCTGATAAGCCTAGGGAAGAGGTTAAAGCACTGTAAATGTTTGTTGACAAGGAAACACTCAATATTGCTGGTCCTGCTTCTTCCCTGTTCATCAAACCTCTGGAGGGACTTTTCACGAGTAAAATTATCCAACAACCAACTAAAATGACCAGGGTAAGCTTATTTGCATTAATTCTATGGGTTATAGAGAGGTGGTGGTAGAGGAGGTGATGGAGGTGATGGAGGAGGTGGTGGAAAGGCAGGGTGGTGGTCTAGAGGGTGGCGATTGTGGTGACCGTGGCAGTGGTAAGAGAGATGATCGTAATGGTGGTGGTGAGAAAGGTGGAGATGGTAGACACACCTGTTAAGATAATGAAGTTGTATAGGCAGTAGAAAAGGCAAAATACTGGTAGTTGGGATGATGGTGGTGATGTAGGTGGAGCTGGTGGTGGTGGTTGTGGATGATAAAAGCTGTGATAGTGGTAAAAGGGAATTGAGGACAGCTGTTCACATAAAAACCAGTTCACAAATGTTCAAAGCAGGAATAGCCAAACTAGCCCAAAGTAGCTATAACCCAGATGTTCACAAACTGATGATAAACAAATGTGGTTTAGCCACATAATGGAATATTATTTGGACATAAAAAGGAATGAAGTAATGAGACATGCTACAATACAAAATAACCTTGGTAACACTATGCGAAGTGAAAGATGCCAGTTACAGATTACTGAATGACTCCTTATGTGAAATGCTCAGGACAGGTAAACCTATAGAGACAACTACTAACTACCTAACCGGTAGTTGTCTAAGTTGGAGGAAGTAACTACTGCTAAATATGGGATTGGGGTGTGCAGTAAAGATCTTATCTAAGATTAGGTTATACACCTCTGTGAATATACTAAAAGAATGTTCAGATTGTAGGATTAAATGGGCACTTTCTTTATCGCTATCTGTCCATCTCTTTCTGTCTGAATGTCTAGCTCCCTTTCCATAGAAGCTGGACTTTGTGCTTGCTACATAAGTGTTCTCCCATTGAGATACATTACCAACTAAATGGGTGAATTGAGGAAAAGTGTGGGTGGTGCTGTGGTGAGAATGAAGGGCTGAACTTGAGTTGGTGGTGATGTTGGGGAGAGGAAAGGAGATAAAAGTTGATTGACGCTTGACATTATCTCAGTTTCAACAGACCCAAGACAGAGCACCTCAGATTTTTCTTCCCTATGGATAATTTTTTTCTATGCATGTTAGAAAACAAAATGTGTCTCACTGAACTTGCACGCAAGGTTTTTTCAAGAACAAGTTATGAGAACCAAGGCAAGGTGTTAGTTGCTATTGGAATTCTGTGAAATGGGACATCTTCAGTTTTTCTACTCAGGGTCCTTGTCAAATACAAGTAGCTTCTTAGGAGAAACTGACCAGATGAGCTAGACTCTGTCTTCTTCTGTGAGAGTAAAATCAGACGGGTCCATGAAAAAATTAAAGTCAATGTCTGGGGGCTATAATTTTTAATAATTTTAAACTAGCTACAAAATGTCAATCACTTCACAAACCAACAGAGGAGACAGGAGGAATTTAATATACATGCTATATTGATATTTCTCTCACAGTTTATCTATAGTTCATTCATTTATATTATTTTTAAAGATTTCTTTATCAGCTACTAAACATCTCAGCAGTTTGGTGTGCATAGCTCTAGATTAAGCAACAAAGAATTGTATTGATAACAAACCACAGGGAAATGGTGATCAACAAGAGTCAGACTTAGAAAATTTACATCTCCACATCGTTCACAGCAAGAGTTTATCTTTAAAACATAGCTTTCAAAAGCAGCAAACAAACCTTATTTTACACCCATTTCACATAGTTTCAGCCAAACATATATTTTGCTGGAAATGATTGAATAGTGAGTGTGTCAAATCCATCTTTTAAAATTTATTTTTAAAAAGGATGATTATGACAAATAAATCTATATGTTGACAGAAATAAAGTGACACTACTGCAGGTTTCGCTGGTATAACTTAATCTTGACAGTGTCCCAATACTGAGCATGCGTGGTTGCTGTTATTGTTGCTGTTGCGTGTGTGTTTTCTCGTCAGTATGCTACTGTCATGGAAAGTTTTCCTTTAAGTAGGAACCTAAAAATCTATTTAGTTCTCATGCATAAATGCATAAATCACATCACTTTTAGTGCATTGCCTGTTATGTTATTTCACATTGTCTAATCATGAAATCATAAAGACAGATAAAAGCCGTGAGGAACCAAAGACAGCACATTTGGAGAGATTCAGAGCCTGACACCCAAAGAAAGGACTGGGGTGCTAGCTCTGTGGAATGTCACAGTTTTACGAGAACAATACTGTGTATTGGAAGAATCAACAGCACATAGAGCATTCCTAAATTGTTGTCATTCAGCAAACGCCACTGAGAAAAGGGAAAATGAAACCCAAGACATCTTAGGTTGGAAGTTAGAGCCACAAATGACCACTATGTACAACCTTTGGAAAGAAAGAGCCAGAGAGAACAAAAGACATACAATATTATTGGGAAGCTGACAGACAACACTGGACACCTGTACGATGGTGGTGTGTGTGTGTGTGTGTGTGTGTGTGTGTGTGCAAGACCTACTAGGTAATACCATGAGAAAAGCATGAAGGAGCTCTCTTGACCAGCAACATTCAGAGGAGAGCACAGGAGAGCACATTTAACCACTTCCTAGCATCTTTGTTGCACGTTGGTTGGCCTCATCAATTCTGGTTTTGTTGGAATCAGCCTAGAAAGGAGGACAGAAAAAGATTTTACATCATCCCTTAAGGCCTCATTCATCCTTCTGAGTTCATGCTGGTGAACCACCTTAAACCTTCCCACTTAGGGCTATCACCCTTTATTTTGCATTCCTTGAATCAGTGCTATGGCTCTCATTGGATATGGTCACAGAGGCTTAACTTGGGTTTCCAACTGTTTCTCTCACTGGAGAGCATTTTTCTGAGGACAGGGCTATATTATTTATCTTCCTATCCTGAATGACTTCTATGAAAGCATTCATATCTGGTGGTCTGAACCCATTTAGCAGTGCCAGTTTGTGCCAATTGTATCTCGTCTCGGCTTTCTTGTCTATAACCTGGGCATGATAAGGACAAGTGCTAATGAACATGAGTATTGAGTGTTCCATGTATTCAACCTCGCTCACACCATCCACTACATGCATATGATTATTTGCTACTTTTTTCAAGTAAAGAAGCCAGGCAGATAGAATGCAGACAACTTGTCTCATAACCCACACTATTAGTCACTCTACTGCTTAGGTTTGCTCTGAAAGATTGAGCGTGTGTGTGTGTGTGTGTGTGTGTGTGTGTGTGTGTGTGTAAAATCAGCCTTAAAAATGTTCAGTAAAGATTAAGCACTCAATGTGTATATCTTAACAATTACTGTTACTGAGTCAACATATGGCATGTTTCAGAATGTTCACTGGCCTTTAAGCCTCATTTTCTTTTTAGTTTTTAATCAGGTAAATGGATTCAGTATTCCTTTGCTGTCCTCTTTGATGGGGGCAGCACAACAGAGGATGCATGTAGTCATTAAAGACGACAGCGTTTAAGTTCACCTTCTGAAGGCTCACTCCCATAAGCCTGCTGACCAGTTTGTTTTTAACAAAGATACATTTACCATAGTCTTGTACCCTGCTCACTGGAGCCTCTTCATTGACCCTGTCACTGCTTGGGTTACACCATGCATGAAACCCAGGGATGTTACCAACTTAAACCTTTAAACCCAGGAAATTAACTGTTTCCATCACCATAGAAAACAGTAAGTCAGCAAGTGGAAGGGAAGACAGTAATTGTTCAGCCCATTGTGTTGTCCCGTCATGAGTAGTCAGTCACCTGTAACTCCACAGCCTGGGCAGAGGAGCAAGCCACCAAGTAGTCCAAGGAAGCAGAATTGGTTTTCCAGTTATCCATTATCATTTAGTGATCACAGGCTGTATACTTACTTCCCTACTTTTCAGTCTCTGTTGCATTGGGTCTTCTTTATTCAATTTGAATTTGTGAATTCCACTGATGCTGGAATTATCCATATTCAAATAGACATTTGAAAAGCTGAACATATTTCTAGGTTATTCATGACTGAATTATCTGGCCATGGTGGTTTGCCATCTGTTTGTTTAATCAAGAGTTGACTTCAAATGAGTATTTACATCCTAACAGACAGGATTGCTTTGCCTTTATTATCCTGAACTGTAGATTCACAGTTTTAACCCCAGGATCCTCGTTTGGAAATATATAATCCCTTCAATTTTACTTGGTTTCTAAATCTGTCCTCTGTAGCAACAAATTGTATCAGAAATAATGGTACTTTGGTGCAGTGGAGAATTACTAGCTCAGAGCAATTTGAAATGGTCCTATAAGTTGAGTTATGCTGACTGTATTTCTAGACTGAATTCGGAAAAGCTGAAGTGAGGAAATAATTCATTTTAAAATAAATGCCATTTTTGAAAGAAAATGTAGAATGTCTTCCACAGGAATGAACTGCAGAGCCTTCCCATGGCTGCCCAGGGGACATCTGAGGTAGAGCATGATGCTGCCAAGGGGCTGCCTTCAAGGCACGTGGGAAGCACTAGAATGCCTTTGTTTAGTGGGCACCTGTGATTCCTCTTAAGTTCTTTCTGAAGCATATTGAAACTCTAGTCCCTACAATACATGATCTAAAAGGTATATTTTTTCATATTGTATAAAAGAAATAGTACTTTTTAGGGAAAAAATCCCAAGAAAAGCCCCTTTCGGGTATCTCCCTAGCACTTGGCGAACATCTCTGTGTTCATCCTACTTGTTTGTTTGGGAACCTTATTCATGGAGGCTTACCCAGACTAGTTTTCACATTTGTATTTGGAGAATCCTAAGCTTGTTGACATATCCAACATATGCTAAATGATTTTCCTTTGTGAGAAGGCCACAGTGTCCACCAGGAGGCCCAGAAGTGGTTAGAAGTAGCCATTTAGTCCATCCTTCTGAGTACTCTGGGAAACTCTTCAATTTCACACCCTGGTGTTTAGGTCCAAGTCAGACATCTGGAACTTGATGCTTCTACCCCAACACACCAGCTACACCAACACATTCAGATTCCAGGATTGAACTGTTCCCCCATCTTTCAGTTCCCTGAGCTGGTGAACAGCAAAACCCCATTAGAACCCACAGCTCTGTTCTCAAACTCTGTGTTCTCCACTGGTAGAACCTGGGGACCGCTCAGTGTTTCTCATCATGTACTCGACATCTGCCACTGACAGCCTTACCTTAAAATCTCAACATCATCGATCTTTCCTTAGCAGCAGATCATAGAAAGCTTTTAATAGAAACTTACTTACAATTTCCAGTTTTCTGAAAGAATTGTATGCTTTTAACTTTGGAGGATTGTGTATATTAAACACCCATAAGCAAAAATCACAAAGTTTTTAAAAAATTAACAAATCCATTTCTTAACCGCCTCCACCTCATTGTTTTGAACTTCTCAGACTTCACCATTAATCCAAGTGATGAGAAAAAATCATGAATAATAAAGTGGGGTGGAGGTCATTGCTGAGGTCAGGAGGGAAGCTGGGAGAACCATTACAAGACTCTTCTTGCTCCTTCTGTGGTTTTAATTTTGATTAAATTCTACACATGCAGAAGACTTTTAAACACTGTTACCGTGAACCAATGCTTCCAAGAGAAGGCGAGAATCTATTAACAACTATGCAGCGTGTATCATGACCGGCTAGCCTTAAATGGGCTCAGTGTAAATCATGTCCAGATTGTGATGTTGGAAAAAAGGAGGAGTTGCTACTTAAAATGTTGATCAGACTGAACTAATTACTCAAAAGCAATTAGACCCCCTGCTTCAGTGCCTCGGGAGTCAAGGATTGATGTAAACTGGAGAATCCCCTTTCATCCTATCCACTTGCCTGGCTTTTGAGTAAATTGCATCCATGTGTATGCATTTGTCTGTGTAGTACACAGCCGAGGTTAAGAGGTTCTCCCTACAGACGAGAACCTGGATTGCAAAGGGAGCTCAATCTGGATACCACTTGCTTTTTCTGGAGCAGTTTTTCTTGCTTCAAATTCCACTAACTCAGTAAGAATTTGACCCCACTATGACTAAACTTTCCTTTCTGGAACCCTAATTGCCTTTATCTGCTTGCTTCTGAATAAATTTGGTCCATTAATAGAAATTGACTACTTCCGGTTTTCTCAAATAGCCTTCCCATTGTAAATCAGCTCAGAAGTTATTTCTTAGTTCATTTTTCTTTGGGACACTAATGGTTTAGGTCAGGCTGTATTGATTCCAGTACCTTTTGAACCTTTGAATATGATTCTAAAATCCACTGGTTCAAAGACTTTAAAAGCTTCAGTATATTAAAAGCTTCTTAGCCATGAGAAGCATGTGTAACTTGCAGAAGTAGTAAAGCACAAGCATTTTGCCAGCCAGCTCTGGCATTTGTGGGGCTCGAAATACTGCATGTTTTGAGATATGAGCTACCCAGAACACGTACAGCACAGTAGTGTCTATTCTTCCTTCAACATATCAGAAGCTGCTTGGGCACCAAGAAACCACTAGTTACTTTTGTGATCTTTTGTGTTACTTAAGTGATCTAAAAAATTATTCTACCATGCTCACGGAAATGAAAAAAATATTATAAAGAAATTCAACATCTCAGATTAAGGTGTTCAGTAATTCACAGAGAATAAACAAACAGCACAAGACTAGCCAGACAGAAATTATACATATGTAATCACTGCCAAACCCAAAATATATCAATTTCTCCCTTTTAGTATTTGGACATTTTAAAAGATTATAATCAAAATTGAGCATCCTACTGTTGGGGAGGAGGGAATACAAGGAAAGAGAAACTGTCAGGCTTGTGTGGTGCAGACTAGCAGAATTGTAATGACCTAAATAGCTTTATAAAAACTCTTTTGTGTTTCTTCTGCTCTTTCCTACTTGCACGGCTTTGTTCCCTTTCCTCTCTCTTAAGTCCTGTTGGCACTGACATCTTAGAGACAAGTCTGATATCCTGACTTGAACTCAGTTCCTGTTTTGAGATTTGGGGCTATGAACTGTTGGCTTGGAAATGCTACCCGGGCCTTTTCTCACTCTCATCAAAGCACTGGCATATAAAAACAAGGCTCATGCTCACTTTCTTGTTAAAATTGTTACTCTTTCTTCCATTCTCTGATTCTAGTCTGCCACTGTCACTTCTTGACAAACTCTTGACCAACCTTCAAGACTCAAGTCAAATGCAACTTTTTTTTTTCTTACTGGCAGTACTGGGACCTGAACCCACGGCCTCACCCACACTGGGCAGGAACTCTGCCACTGAGCTATGCCCATCAAAGGCAATATTTTCTTAGCTTTTCCCATTCCTCCCCTTTGAAATCTTTCTTCCCAAAAGTCTATCAAGCATGTATCTGTGACTCTCTTAGTGGATTATATTTTCATAGCTGTAAATTCATCTGGTGACTCATTCCTTTCTGGAGCTGTGACTTTCTCAGCAGTGCTAGCATGGAAGAGTTTTGGAGAAATATCTACTAGATTCAGTTCTGTGTTCTTGAGCTAGAGTACAGTATAGCTCAGTGGTAGAGTATTTCTCTACCACTACTCCAGGTCTGTGATCCATCCCCAGCACCAGTAATAAATAAAACTCCAAACTACATTCTAATCTTCATTTCAGTTGTGTTGCTGAATTCTATGTTTCTGTCTTAGAAAATGAAGGACAAAATATCCAGCAACTAGTGTGTATGAATCCAATATCATGTGTCCTGCTGGTGATTTTTAGAAGCAGTAACCAGGAGCAACCAGCTGTCAGCCTTGGACTCACCTTCTCCATGATCCTGTCGATCTGGCGATTCTGTGTATCGATCTCATTGCCCATGTCCAGGGCCATGTGACGGAGGTTTCCAATGATGCCGCTCACCTGCTCCAGGTTTTCATCCATTTCATTTTCTCGGGCATCATTTGTTACCCTGGGAACCAAACAACAATTTTTAGAAAGCAGAAAGTAGAGAAAGTGAGGCTAGTAAGGGCCAGAACGTTCAGAAAGTCTGCAGACGCCTCCGGATCTGCCTTATCGTTACCCTCCTTCAACACAGGAACATGCCTTAACTTTTGTGTGTTAGAAAGTCATTTTAAAATTTGTGTTTTGAGTTTGAGGTACAGTTTTTAGTAGTTTGCCTAGCATGACTGAGACGCTGGGTTAGGTGTCAGCAATCCGGAATAAACAAACGGGCAAACAGCAAATACCTGAAAGCTTATAATGTCCAAACTGTACTTTGAACCTCTGAATTCTCCCTCCAAGTTCTGCCTATGATGTCAATGCTAGCCTAGAGGTTGTGATTCACCCTCCTCAGCTCCCCAGGGTTAGCATCGTAGATGTGTACCACCACACCTGCTTTGAATTTGTAATTCTAAAGAAGTTATACTAAATAGATTAATTTGTCTACTTTAATGACTTTTACAGGCACACCAACTCCTCCTTATATATGTTTATCTCATTTTTTGTTATTTGATTTTGAATATATGTGTGCATGTTCAAGGGCATGCTGCTGTGTGCATACTATGGAATGCCTGTGGAGGTCAAAGGACAATCTCAGATGTAAATCCTTGCTTTGTTTGAGGCAGGGCCTCTTGTTCACCACTGTGGGTGCCAGGCTAGCTGGCCTTGGAGCTTCTGGGAGTCCTTTTGTCTCTACCTTCCATCTCACCATAAGCGCACTAGGATTATAGATGCACACTTCCGCATCCAGCCTTTATATGGGCTCTGGAGTCTGAACTCAGATCCTTATACTTACATGACTAGTGTTTTACCCACTGAGCCATCTCCCAGCCCCCTCATTTTTATTTTTCTAAAGATAAAATCATTTAGTTGGAAGGATTCCAGGTCAGAGAAAAGACGTAGAGCTAGGAAGACTATGAGTTTTTGTTTGTGTGTTTTTCTGAACCCTGAATCTCCAAGACTCAAATTGAGAATGAAAGAAGAAATTCTTTCTGCTCAGTTAGCAAATCTCCTTGCTCACCCCTTTCCTTGGGCTCCACAAGAGGCGACAGCACAGGTAAGTAGTTTGCCTCTTAATCCTGCTGCTCCCAAGAAATTCAAAGGGAGCTACTGTGTCAGGATGGGTGTTATTTACTCACATGTTAACGCTATAGGTTTTTAGTGTTATTATAGATAGGTGATTTCAGAGTAAAAAATTGTGGTGATTATGGTTTTGGTTTGAATAGGCTGGGAGTGGAGTGGGGTGGAAGGCACTGGGTCACCAAGCTCCGTACCACTTTTCCAAAGTCCAACCTGAAGGTCAAGAAGGTATGTTATTGCAAATGGCAGGACTTCATTGTAACTTTTCAAAATACAGTGGCCTATTATATTTTGGTTTTGTTTGAAACATCATCTCCCTATATGCCCAAATTTGCTTTGAACACTGAATCCTTCTGTCTCAGTCTCTCTCCTAAGTGCTGGGTTTAGAGTCCTTGCCACTATGCCTGGCTCCATTATGATACATACATACATATATATATATGATTATGATACATATATATGTATATAAAGCAGCCCAAGTCAGAGAAAATTCAGAAATTAAGGGAGAGCTTCCTATCTTTTTCATGTAGGGAAGAAGTTTATTTGAATGATAATCAACAATAATAATGCAGTTCTAACTCAATGGTTCCCAAACCTAATGCATAGTAGAATCACCTGAGCTTTACAAACTATAACTTTTTATGTCCCTTGTTAAGAGACTTGGATTCAGCTGCTGTGGTCTGAAGTATAGGCACTGATCCCCCCACCCTTCCTCTGCCCTCCCTCTCCTCTTTTTCTTTCTTATCTTTGAGAATCACTGATCTAGTTTCCCTGGGAGCAGACAGAAGGAACAGAATCACCATCAGTGAGAGTCTAGGTACACATTTAGAACGGACACCTCGTGGATCACTTTTAAATCACAAGAGTACTGGTTGCCAACAACAGCTATAATAACTTGGGGATAGTCATTTAAACATCTCTTCTCGCCTATGCTGAGTCCTAGTATGGTAGTCTATATATCATATCTGAATATGTCTTGGTTGATGTGCTTCATGCCTTGCTTTACAGTCAAGTGGTTCTTGTTCACTGAAAGGGATGGAAGTGTGGAATGGATTTCTCAGGGCGTTCCAAAGATAGAAAGGACCTAAATTTTTTTCTTTTCGTAGAAAATACTTGGTTGTTAATCGACTGGGGGGGGGGTTCCTTGGAACTGAAGCTGAGCTGTACAACTTGAAGTATTTAAAGTAGATATTTAAATTGGTTTTTGCTACTAGATCTCAAAAGAAGCAATGAGTGTACATTCCATTTTTCTCTATTTTCACCCAGATCCATTCTTTGAACTTCTCTGCTTCGGGCCCCAAGAGGCTGACCTCTGTGGCTGTATTACCAACTTCTTACACTCTGACTTCCACTGGACTTTGACTAGTGGTCCGAGGGGAACTGGAGCACAAGAGGAACCAGGGTTTGGGGTACTTGTTTCTCTTTGCCATTCCAGCCAACGCTGGCTATGTCTGTCTTTCCCTGGTGCACCCCCTGCCATAGTCACAGTCACTGGGTTGTGATAACAGTTCCCTCTTCTGCCTCTAGACGACTAAGTGGTGGTGACTTCGTCACTCATGTCAGCAAATGTCCCTCTGTAAGTAGTCTCTTTAGTAAGCCCATCTCGTAATGAGATGCCGGTTGACGGCCACTCTGATTTTAAATGTGGTCATGTGATTTGCTTTGTTTACAGAAACACCATACAAGCCACAGTTTGGAAAATCATTGTACATTGGCCCTTGCCCCTTGATACATTGCTATCACCATGGAGAAACCCAGGCTCCTCTATTGCAAGGCCACTTGAAGGTAGACAGAGCTCCTCCACTGACAGCCCAGCCCATGACCAGAAAAATGAGTGAGGCCATGGTGGATCCAGTCCTAGTTATATGTAGCCCCATGAGTGAGCCCAGGAAAGCTGGGTGGAAGAAACTCCCAGCCAACATATAGATTTACCATTCATAAAACAGTGCGATGTTGGTTATCCAGCAACAGAACCCTGTGAAACTCACCTGCGGATGAAGCCACCACTGATGGCCATCTGCTCCCGTTCATCCACCACACGAGCAGGCTGGCTGGCCACTACTCCATCCTGATTATTGCCCCAGGCTTTTTTGTAAGCATCACTTGATTTAAGCCTATACAAAAAAGAGGATGAGTGCCAAGGCACGGGTGGGGCAGCTCACAGTAACTGTCACTTCTAGCGAAGAATCGAACCAAGCGAATGAGTTTCAAGTTGAGGCATTAGAGAATACCGATATATCATAATCTGAACCCAAATAGTTGGCCACCACCATGCCTCAGCTACTCAGCATTTCATTTCCAACTGAGCCAATTGCAATGGTCAAGACTGTGATCTTTGATTTGTTTTGTTGTTTAATTGGTTTCAAGATACGGATGAAGACAGCTGGAGAACATACAGTTCTATTTCTGTGACATGGTATATTTTGAGACGCAAAACACAGAAGAAACATACTGGCAGACAGACACAAAACAAGACTGCCAAGTAGAGTGTGTACATCACACCATGGCAACACAGGTCATGAAGAAATACATATTTGACCACGTTTTTACACATCATCATGCAAAGATCTCTGCTTAATATATTTCCCCCAACACGTGTGCAAAACTACATTTCCAATGCTTCATGAAAGACATAAAGGATTGGTGGTTGGCCAAGAGTGATAGCTAATCTTTGGGTTGCCTCTACAGTGATTTGAAATTGATAATATATCGGTACTTCCAAACAGTCACCATACATCCAAGATTGATGTACAAACCTTTGTCCACAGAGACAAAAAGTAAAAGAAGCATAGTGAAATGAATGCAGGAAAATAGAAGAGAGAACAAGCCATCTAGCACCAGAAAGGAACACCCCTCTGTGTCTTCTTCATGCACCAGCTACAGGCATGAGTAGAAAGTGAAGCATTCTCATTTAAGCCAAACTACTCCAGAAGTTGACCATTCTCGAGAAAGGCACTAGCAGGACAGTAATAGCCTTCATGAGGATTTGAAACGCAGTTCAGTAGCTTCTTGGATCGAAGGGCAGGGCAGATTGTATACAAACTCCTACTTCAAACTATCCTGGGTTATGACTGGGGAGAATGGTTTGGAACTGGTGTGATCTCCATGGGCTGTATTTCACTGAGCTGCCTTGGAGAAAAACTTAAAATCCAGGCATACCTGTTGTGCCCAATAGAAACATGTGCAGCATATTTTGGTGGGTGTGTTGTAATTTAAGGCAATCAAAGATGTTTCTAGGTTCTTTGCATAGTAGAAACCACATAGTTTTGAGTCCAAAAACAAGATACACCCTTCGGTCCCATTTCACATTTTTTGTTATAAAACACCAGTATTTAACTCTGTTTCCCCCATCTTTCTTTCACTAAAGGACCAAAACCATCTACTGAATTGATTTTAATCTTTGCAGATTGGGGACCAAGTAACCATGGTGACAAACTGGAAAACTGCACCAATGGAATTCCAGCAACTCCCACAATTTAGAGAATTGCCCTTTGAGAAGTCACAACTTACTGTCCCAAAGGGTCGTGGGAACCCTCAACGGGACAAGGTCCCCAAACAAATTATCATAGTTTCAAGTTTGCCTTTTCTTCCCCTCCACCTCCCCATTTCCTCCCTCCTTGGGTTAAAAGAAGCATATGGACTTTGTGATGCTTTCTGCTATGTAAAATGTCTGGTATACCATCTTTGGCAAAGTCAAAGAAAGAGGAAATATGCGTTTCCAAAAGAAGGCAAACCACTGCACCCACAACGCTGCACAGACTCACATCACGGCCGTACATCTATCATAGTCCTTCGAAACATGCCGAGACAGGGCGAAGCCCCCAGAGAGTCCAGGGCACCACCAGCCACTGCGTTGTGACACATGGTTTTTAAAGCGTTGTTTACACACATTAGGGGACACTTCACTCAAGCTTTGAAGCTCAGTTAGGGTCTCTTACACATTAAGGAATTAGTGACCACATATATATGGGATTAGTAGGGTTCATGTTTCTTCAGAACCTGAGGATCCACCCCAGGGGGCCCTACCTCCACCTTTTTTTCACACACAGTTGATGAAGGGGGCAATGTATCTATTGGAATTCACCCCAGACATGGGGCAAGTCAGCACTGAAAAGGGCATACAGTTAAATCTTGACTAACTGGAATGCTTGGCCATGAGTCATTTTGGAGAATTTTAGGACTTGACTAATGAACAGTGGCTACAGAAGAAAATTTTGTTTAAGGTTAATTGGTGAATATCTATTTCCTTAAACCAATTTTCTGCTGAAGAGTCTTTGGGTATGGGCGCAAATGTCTTCCCATGGTTATGGCTTATAGTGATATGCCTGATAACCCTTCTTTTACTATCAACTCTTACTTTCTTTTCATCATATATAGACAGTAGAATGGACACTGAGATCATGCAAATGAACTGGACGTTCTGGGAGAAAAACCATTCCAAGTCTGTCTGTGACTGCCTCTCTCTGCCTGCTCTTTTTTTTTTTTTTTTTTTTTTTTTTTTTTTTTAAAAAGGGTCTCCCTGCAGCCCCAGCTGTCCTGGAACTCACTATGTAGACCAGA